CGGGCCTGGGCTGGGGATTCGAACCCGCCACCTTAGGTGTATGTGGCTGGCACCTTAGCTGCTTGAGCCACAGGCGCCGAGCCTGTTTATTGGGTTTTCTACAGACAGGATCACACTGTCACCCAGGCCAGAGTGCAGCAGTGTGATCACAGCTCACTGAGGCTCTGTACTCCCTGGTGCAGGTGACCCTTCTGCCTCAGCCTCCCAAGTTGCTGGAACTATAGGCACACACTACTATGCCCTGCTAATATTTGTGTTTTAGAGACGGGGTCTCTCCACATTTCCCAGGCTGGTGTCAAACCTCTGGCCTGAAATAATTTTCCCACTCCAGCCTCCCAAAGTTCTGGGATAATAGGTATGAGCCACAGTGCCTGGCCTGGTCTTGTTTTAATTCATTTAAAAATCATTCTGCATTTAGAGAGATTCACATGTACCCTTATAGGATGAACTATAGGCATGATCCCACCAATCACCCTCCCTCCACCCATCCTCCGCCCTCCCCTCCCCTCCCTCTCCCCTTTCCCCATATTCTTGGGCTAAAATTAGGTTATAGTTTTCCTATGAAAGCTATAAATTAGTTTCATAGTAGGGCTGAGTACATTGGATACTTTTTCTCCCATTCTTGAGATACTTTGTTAAGAAGAATATTTTCCAGCTCCATCCATGTAAACATGAAGGAGGTAAAGTCTCCATCTTTCTTTATGGCTGCTTAGTATTCCATGGTGTATAGAAGGCTATGTTAACCAGTTGGATGAAAGTATTTCAAATTGTATATAGAAAAAGCACTCTATACCCCATAACAGTATTAATGTAAACAGCTATGATTTAATTTAAAAAAAAAGAAAAAACATTATTCTGGTTCTATGTGTGAGATCGAGTGATAATCGATTGAAACCTCTTCATTTTCATTTTCAGATTATTTAATCCTTTTGTCTTTTTTTTTTTTTTTGAGACAGAGTCTCACTATGTCGCCCTCAGTAGAGTGCCATGGTGTCACAGATCATGGCAACCTCAAACTCTTAGGCTTCAGCCATTCTCTTGCCTTAGCCTCCCAAGTAGCTGGGACTACAGGTGCCCACCACAATGCCTGGCTATTCTTTTGTTGCAGTTTCATTGCTGTTTAGCTGGCCCAGGCTGGGTTCAAACCTGCCAGCCTCAGTGAACGTGGCCAGCACCGTAACCACTGTGCTATGGGCACTAAGCCTAATCCTTTTGTCCTATCTGCTTTCTGTGACTCCACTCCAGTAGCAGAGGCAGCTTTGCTTTGTCACCACCACGTGGATGTAGGAGTCTCCCTGGGTGGGAGGGGGGACATTCTGGCTGCTACGTGGTCTGCACCAACTGCATCATGGGGGTGGCCTTGCCCATGTGTGGTGGTCCAATCCTGACAGTCCACTAGGTTGTGTCTGATACCACCTAGGTGGGGGAGAGTGACCCCTACTGCCAGCTGGGGAGGAGGTCCAGCCCCTCCATTGTCTGGAGCCAATGTTTACGGAATGCCTGTCTCTGCAGCCAGTGGCTCTACAGGCTCTACAGGGAACCACCCTCTACAAGGCTTCCAGCCCCTCTTCCCCACAGTGCTTGTGCAGAGAAAGGTCACTCTGATAATGCTTGTGTAGCTCAGCACACAGGCACCTGCTTCTGAGAATTAAAGGTTAAGTCAGGAAGACCGAATTCAAAGACATTTGGAAAAAAAAAAAAACTCATATTCTGCTCACTCAGTGGTATCTCTACAGGTCACAGATACTACACACAGAAATCTTCAGACTCCCTGGCACTTGGGGGCCCCAGACTCACAGGCTGTGACAAGTAGACCTCAGTCCACTGCCACACTCCACATCTGTACTGTTCTAACATTCCAAAATCATAAATTGGTGCGTTAGAAAAACTACACAGAATCAGTCCATCACAAAAAGGCAGGAGTCCTAACTAGAGTGGTGCAGTTTCGTGTGAATTGTAAGTAACTTGTTTACAGACAAACTTCATCCTAAAAAAAAGAAGGCAGAATCACAGCTACAAGGTTTTCTTTATTCTTCTTCCCAGAGAAACTAATTTGGTTCTGTGGTCCCAGACAGAAAGCCTCCTGGTGACAACATACAAAATTCTAGGTGAAATCTAGCTTACAACACTCATATTTCATTTGACTTAGATACTTCTCAAAAGGCCACTGAGCACATCACATGGCCCTGCAGCAGTGGATGCTCCAGCCATATGTGACTGTGACGTCAGCCACATGGGTCTTGTTTCCAGTAAGAAGGTCTCCAGAGCCAGTGGCTGCACACTGAGATCACCTGGGGCACGCTTAGCCAGCCATTCGTAAGGGGGACTCAGTCCTGGGGGAGTAGATACTGGTGTTTTCACGTACCCTCCCCCAACACTGCCATGCCACAGGGTGGATGCTCCCACTGCTCCTCCCCCCCTCAGTCCCACTGGGTCAGAACCGGCCTACCAGCCAGTGCCTGAGGTGCTTGCGTGCACTGAATCATGAGAAGGGCCTTTAGGTTTTAGGACTGTGAATTCTTTAGATACAAAAAAGTCCTAAAGGGGGCCAAATAATGGCTCCAGGAGGACATAGTCCTCATGGGTGACATGGTAATGGCAGGTAGTGGTTGCCTGCAGGGACCCCAAGCCCAGCCTGACTCTCACACTGGCCACTGTCACACCATGGCTCTGCTCAGCCGTCAGTCAGTGTAGCCTTGCTGGTTGTCCTCCCAGGAAGGCCCTAGTATAGCTTGAGCCCCACCTGTCTGTGGCACTACAGAATCAAGGTCACAGCTTAAGGTCATGAGCTGACTGTGTCGAGGGGCCTGGTCCAGGCCTGTTCCCTCTCTGACCTCTGATCTGCAAGCTTTTCTCACTTCCTGGAAGACAGAGGACAGGCAAGGCCTGCTGCCCCTAGAGAAAGCACTTGCCTTAGTCGTTATCAGAACAAAGTCTGCCAAGGGCATCCCAGGAGCAGTGAGAGCCAAGGGCATCCCAGGAGCAGTGAGAGCCAAGGGCATCCCAGGAGCAGTGAGAGCTCAGTGATAGCAGGAAACTGGCAGGAAACAGGTCTATGGGACCTGCCTCTCCCTGCCTTTGGAGAGGTGATAGCAAGGGCTAACATGATAACACAGGGGGAGGGGGCTTTCCCCAGCCACCACCAGATGCCTTTGACCTCTAATGAAGGAAACTATAAAGCCCAGAGAAGGCTCCTGCCTCAGTCTGGGTGCCCACAGCACAAGGCAGGATGGCAGCTCTTCAGGAAAAGAAGACCTGTGGCCAGCGGATGGAGGAGTTTCAGCGCTATTGCTGGAACCCGGACACCGGGCAGATGCTGGGCCGGACCCTGTCCCGCTGGGGTGAGTGCTGGTGGCTAAGCAGCTGCTCTGAGGACTCTGCTTCTAAGCTTGTCTGGCGGGGGCAGGAGGACCTCACAGGACCCAGGCCCTGCCCACATCCCAGTGGACAGTGGGCAGACTTCAGGCTAAGCTGCCCTTACGTGGAGGAAAAGTGAGGGTCCCCGAGCTTCTCTCAGACCCACACCCTGGTTCTGGGACACCTGCCAGGTGGAAACATCCACAGATTGGCCCCAAATTCTCAGCTGTATGTTTGAGGACAGCATTTTTAAAGCCGTGTTCCTAAAACTAATAATTTTCTTAAAGAATTTTAAAGGCGCATCCATGGTTCTTTGGTAAACAACTGGGGGACATGGATTTACTGATGAAGTTGGCAAGTCTCCTGCTGCCTCACAGCAGAGCCCCTTTCCGAGGCTGTCACAGGGTCCCTCACAGCTCCCCAGAGGCAAAGGCACCAGGGAGGAGGAAGGTGAAGGGGTATCCAGGCTCACATGGGCTGCGCCAGCCTGCTCAGGAAATACCCTGCCAGGCGAGTCTTGCAGAGCACAGAGCCTGTGAGTGCCATGCTGATCCTCAGAGGCTGTGGCCCTGCCAAGCATGGCCTCCTAGGGAGGTGACGAGGACACCATAGCCCCTGCCCTGTCCACCGTCCTAAAGCTATGACCACACACCCCAAGGCACTGGCACAGTCTGACTGGAGAAAATGCACACCAGGAAGGTGAAGCTGGGCCAGACTATGGAGGGATAAGCCAGCTGTGAGTGGAGGGAGGTGGGGTGCCATCCCTGTCCCCTTGGAAGTTCGCCTAGGCTGCACCACTAGTACAAGTACACAAGACTGTCTGGGATGGCCTCACTGCCAATTCCTGGATATGGCTGTGTTTGGGGTGAGAGAGTCACGAGGAATAAGGAAAACACAGCTCAAGAGAAAGAACAATAGCAGGGGAGGGGACGGTAGCCCTTCCTGCGGTGGAGGCCTGATGTGACTAGCACTTCTTACAGGATGTTCTGCATCATGCTGATGAGAAGAGTGGAAGGGACATGATTCCAAGTACACTTGAAAAACGCTGCTTGTTGCAGCCCCTTCTAGAAACTTAAACATGAAGGCCCTGGCAGGTCCCATATAGTATAGACAGCAGTCACTCATGGCAGCACCCACCAGCATTCTGGGACCCTAGGACTCTGCAGAACACACTTTGGGAGACACAGCTCCGATCATTCCTTCCCTGGCCCTGGGTGGCTCTGCCTAGAGCTCACTCCCCTGCTCCTCCTGCCCCTCCTTCAGAACAAGAGCCCAGAGGTCCTACTGGAAGGCCAGGTATCAGGTCCCTAGCAGCCAGGGCCTTGGGAGAACAGAATGGGCCCCCTCATCCTGGCTCCCTTCCCACTGAGCTGCCGCCTACCCCTAAGCAAACAGGTGTGGACGGGGCACCCCAACCTTGGCCTCAGTTTCCTCCTCTGTGAAGGGGAATGAGCACACTGTGAAGGGCTGCAGAACTCGGGGCATAGCCCTTGATGCGGCAGGTGGAGGGCCGCACACTGATGGCAACTCACCCTCCCCTGGCCACAGCCTAATGACCCTGCAGTGAGCCCAGCACTGTCATGAACACACAGGCAGAGACCCCTGTCCTTGTGAGCCTGGGTCCCTGGGGCAGGTGGTGGCCCAAGAGGAATACTGGGGGGAGGGTGTCCAGGAAAATTGAGCCTGGAGAGTGACAGGGAGGCAGCTAGCACAGGTGTGTCTGGGCAGGACACGGTGCCACGCTATGCTGGTGACCTCTCCCTAAGGCTGGCCAGCTTCCAGCCTGGGCTTCACTGAGGAGGCCTGATTGGAGGAAGTGGTGTCTAAGGACCCAGGTTCTCATTAAGGCTCTGCCTGTTGCCTCACAGCCACCCTGTTTCTCATCCTGCCTGTGAATTACATTCAGTCCTCACATCACACAGGGAAGGAGGCATAAGGTCAGCCTCTTTCTGGCATCTGCTTTGTCCCTTAGAGGCGTCTGCTAACTTACAAACATGAAGCTCAAATTGGGCAGCTGCTTGTGTCCTCTGCCTGCAGCTCCCATGGTCCTGACTCCAAGGAGAGACCATGGAGCCTAGAGTGGGAGGCAGAGCCCAGCAGCTACTACTTCTCTCCATCAGCTGCCCCCTCACCACTCCCCTTCTCTCAGGACTCAGAGCAAGAGCTCAGCTGCCGGCTTGTCCTTGAGTGCAGAAACTTCAGACACTTTGGGGACAGAGTGTTCTCAGGGGTCCACCACGCATTGGTGGTCAACCACACTCCTCTGCCTCAGTTTCCCTTCCTGTCATGGGGTGAGCAGTGAGCCCCCCAGAGGGTGCTCAGCCCCTAGGTGGAGCCCCAGAATTCTGCTCCACGCCCAGATGGGCTTATCCAGACAGGGCAATTGGCTGGTAGCTACGGTGGGGGTGGGGGACCTCTGCTCCCCACGGGTTTCCCGCTGGGGGACAGCACGTACGTGGGGACTGTGGTGCATGCTGTGCCCAACTCTGACACACTATGTGGTCCCCTGCAGTGTGGATCAGCCTGTACTACGTGGCCTTCTACGTGGTGATGACCGGGCTCTTTGCCCTGTGCATCTTTGTGCTCATGTCCACCATCGACCCCTACACACCGGACTACCAAGACCAGCTTAAGTCGCCAGGTAAAGTGCCAGGAGGGCAGAGGCACGGTGGGACAGGAGCCCTCAGGGAGAAGACCCTGGCACAGGCGCCACCCCGATGCCTGTAGAATGGGGAGCTCAGCTTCTTTCTGCAAGAACAATGCCTTAATAATGTCAACCTTGGCTCGGCGCCTATAGCTCAACTGGCTAAGGCGCCAGCCACGTACACCTAAGGTGGCGGGTTCAAATCCCCAGCCTGGACCCGCCAAACAACAATGACGGCTGCAACCAAAAAATAGCCAGGCGTTGTGGCGGGCACCTGTGGTCCCAGCTACTTGGGAGGCGGAGGCAAGAGACTCGCTTGAGCCCAGGAGTTGGAGGTTGCTGTGAGCTGTAATGCCACGGCACTCTGCCCAGGGGGACAGCTTGAGGCTCTGTCTCAAAAAAAAATAAATAAATAAATAAATAATGTCAACCTTGGCTTTGGTTTTAGTTTTAGAGACTGGAAGTCTTCGTGTTCACTTGCTCCTACCTGAGCAAACAGGGCACTTTTGGAAGGATGCACCAAGCCCAACAGTCAGAGTAAAGCAGAGCATCCAGGACCATGCACCCCCAAGCCTGGGGTGGGTCCTGCTGCGGGCCTGGGGCATCACCAACAGCAGGTGCAGAGCTTCCTTCTCTTAGGCACTCTGTGAGGCTTGTTCTAATTTCCTAACAGTGTGAAATAACAGAGCCCGAGCTCATGTTATGGGGATAGGGCTGGCTGAGGGGAGCTGCCCCTGCAAGGGGCAAGGTGTTGTAGGGAGCATAGGCACAGGCTCACAGGCACTCTGCCCTGGGCATGTGTAGAGGGCTTATGGCCTGGCCAAGCTGCTGGTTCTCATTTAACCCTTTGTTCACACGTTCTGATTTTCCGTTTTGCAACTGAGGTGTTGTTGGATTGCTTTTGGGCTTAAAGCAAGTGATTTTTAATGTGTGTTCATTTTTCACTTAGAAATGCAGTTTTAGGCTCTGGCTGGGTGGTCACCCTTCACAGCAGGAGAGCTGTGAGGTGTGCAGTGGATAGCGGCCTGGAGCCCATGGACTGCGCCTGAGACACCCCACACTGAGTCTAAGCAACTCCCAGATGGGACCTGGGCTTTCTCCCCCAGGCCTAGCTGCTGTGAAAACCTGGACCCTATCTCTCGCACGCAGGATGGGCTGGATGTTGTGTGTGTGACTCGACTTCCAAGCAAATGGTTTGGATAAGAGTAAAGATATTTGGGGAAAACACATAAAAAGTGTGACATTCTCTCTCTAGGGGTAACCTTGAGGCCAGATGTTTATGGGGAGAAAGGTCTGGAGATTTCCTACAACGTCTCTGATAACAGGACATGGGCAGACCTCACACACACTCTCCACACCTTCCTGGCAGGTAAGGTTTAAATGGCTCCACCATTATGATTTTGGCTTTCTAAGAAAAGCACACTCAGGCTTGGTGCCCATAGCACAGTGGTTACGGTGCCAGCCACATATACTGAGGGTGGCGGGTTTGAACCTGACCTGGGCCAGCTAAACAACTGCAACAAAATATGGCCAGGTGTTGTGGCAGGCACCTGTAGTCCCAGCTACTTAGGAGGCTGAGGCAAGAGAATCGCTTAAACCCTAGAGTTTGAGATTGCTGTGAACACTCTACCAAGGGTGAAATAGTGAGACTCTGCCTCAAAAAAAAAGAAAGAAAAGAAAAGCACACTCAGGGGCCAGAGGCCTTCCCCACTCTCTGGTGGCCTGGCCCACACTGGGGTGAGCTGGCAGGTGTATCTGCCTGGCAGGTTACTCTCCAGCAGCCCAGGAGGACAGTATCAACTGCACGTTTCAGCACTACTTCTTCCAGGAGGGCTTCGCGGCCCCCAACCACACCAAGTTCTCCTGCAAGTTCACAGCAGACATGCTGCAGAACTGCTCGGGCCTAGTGGACCCTCACTTCGGCTTTGAAGAAGGAAAGCCGTGCTTTATTATTAAAATGAACAGGGTGAGTATGGGGGTCTCCTGTGGAGATGCATCCTGACATCTCCCTTATACAACTACCTGCAGTGAGGGATGGTGGTGTCCTGTCCAGGCCCTGCTCAAGTGGATGGCTGGGCCCACAGCCAACCACTCTACCTGGCTAAGCACATACCTGCCACATTTGGATCTTAACACAAATTCAGGGCCATGTGCCCAGGCATGTGGCACTATGTGAACTGTGGACACAGGTGAGGGAGGCTAGGCCAACCCTGCAGGATGCCTGTGAAGCCAGGGCTAGAAGGGGTTTTGGGGACCATGTAAAACAGATGTTTCTGACCTGGGCCCAGGCTGAGGCTGGGGATGCCTGGGCTCGGCAGTGTCCAAAGTGGCCCAGCATGCTGCAGGCAGCAGGTAGCAGGGGCAGGGAGTCCATGGGGACATGACCTGGTCCGGCTATACTGGGTGCCAGGCAGGAACTGGCCAGTCAGGGGCTCTGGGTCCCCACCCCAAGGACCCACCAGTGCAGCAGTGCTGTCCTCTTTCTACTGTGATAAGCTGTACACGTGCAGTGAGCATCCCAGTCCCCCACAGTCAGCCTGGGGCTCAGCACAGCCCTGCTGAAGGCCTCTGACAAGGGTGCAGTGTGATGGCAGCTCCCTCTCAGCACAGTGAGGCCTGCCAGGGACCAGGGCATGGTGTGGGTGTGGACACCGGGCTAGGAGAGATTGGCTGAAGACTTCAGGCCAGGGCAACCTTCACAGCTCAGCACCCACCCTCCCCGCTCAAATGGGAGCCCCCCTCTAGACACAGGCCTGCCTGGACCCTGGTGCAAAAACCCAGGCAGGAAAACCCAGGTGGGAAGGGCATACAAACCAAGGCCTTTCCCTACAGATTGTCAAGTTCCTTCCCAGCAATGGCTCGGCCCCCAGAGTGGACTGCGCCTTCCTGGTGAGTACCAGCTGGCCGGGGTGGAACCGTGCCCCAGCTCTGCCTGAGAACATCAACTCTCCACTTATTAGCCAGACATGTAAATGCATGAACCATGGTCTAAAAAAATTTTACTGGTTAAAACCCAATACTACATTGCTTTGTTCTTTTTATTTTTGTTTTTTTATTTGCTTCTTTGCAAAAGTATTTCAGATCACCAATAGGTGCAATTATTTTTGTTTAGTACATAGTCTGCTAGGAGTTGGCATTAATCATAGGCTTATTAAAGGTTTTTTTCAAAAGTACATTTATTTATTTATTTATTTGAGACAGAGTCTCAAGTTGTCACCCTGGGTAGAGTGCTGTGGCATCACAGCTCACAGCAACCTCCAACTCCTGGGCTTAAGTGATTCTCCTCCCTCTACCTCCCAAGTTGCTGGGACTACAGGCGCCCACCACAACACCTGGCTATTTTTTGGTAGCAGCCATCACTGTTGTTTGGCGGGCCCTGGGCTGGATTCAAACCCACCAGCTCAGGTGTATGTGGCTGGCGCCTTAGCTGCTTAAGCCACAGGCGCCAAACCTCAAAAGTACTTTTAAAAAAAATTCTTTAGTGACAAAGTCTCTGTCACCCTGGCTGGAGCATGATGGTGTCATTACAGCTCACTGCAGCCTCCAACTCCTGGGCTCCAGTGATCCTCCTGTGTCAGCCTCCCAAATGGCTGGGACCACAGGTGCCCACCAGGCCCGGCCAGTGATATTTTTTAAGTACAGGATTTAAAAAACTAAATTTGTTTTCACTAAATATTTTGTGAGGTTTGCCCAAATTATGCCCAAATCCAAGGTTTTCTAACATGGCTCATTAGCGGACATTGACAGTGCATGTCCACACATAGGGTCCCCTGTAAACATGACTTCCCCCAAAGCCTTTCTTCTCCCCAAGGGTGTTTGTGTTGCATCTCCTTTTTCTACTTATTTCAGCTGCATATGTAGCTGACTTGAGATTTTAACAGACACCAAAGTTCCTTCATCTGTTTTTTGATAAACATAAGCTACCCTTTGGGTGATTTCTTTGATTCTGACAAGGAAAAGACATAAATCTTGTGAAAACAACATTTCCACTTATCCCAGAATTCCACAGACCTTTCACCCAGTTCTGGCAAAAACTCAATTTACCTGTTCCCACCTCCAAGTGCAGATGGACCAGCTTCACCACCCACATCATCCTACCTACCAAGACTTCAAAAAGTTAAAGTGCAGCGTGAATCTGAGAAGCCAGCTGGTGCTTTACACAGTGACAACCGCACCCCAGTGGGGGCTCAGTGCTGTCAGGATTATATCTAGTTTATGCAATAGGGCGTTTATGTGGCCACCTGTGTGGTGCACGAGGCACAGGCCGCGCGGGCACATGCCAGCTCCCACCCCACTCTCACTTCCCCCACAGGACACACACTTGCAGGACGCCCGGCCATTGCAGGTGGAGTACTTCCCACACAACGGCACCTTCAGCCTGCACTACTTCCCCTACTACGGCAGAAAGGCGCAGGTGGGTGCAGCTCCTCTTCCCAACTATTGCTGGCAAGGGTCTCCCATTCAGTAAAAGGAAGGCACTGAACATTTTAACCTATAAAAAAAGGCCTGACACAGCCAGTCCTGACCAGCTAATGATCTCAGTGTTAACCAAACCCAGGTTCTTGTAATTACCTAAAAACACATCTCTCTCTCTTTTTTTTTTTTTTTTTGAGACAGACCCTCAAGCTGTCCCCCTGGGTAGAGTGCCGTGGCATCTCAGCTCACAGCAACCTCCAACTCCTGGGCTCAAGCGGGTCTCCTGCCTCAGCCTCCCAAGTAGCTGGGACCACAGGCGCCCGCCACAACGCCCGATTTTTGGGTTGCAGCCGTCATTGTTGTTTGGTGGGCTCGGGCTGGATTTGAACCCGCCACCTTGGGTGTATGTGGCTGGCGCCTTAGCCACTTGAGCCACAGGCCCCGAGCCAAAACACATCTCTCTTATACAACCTATGAATCTCTAATTCCTTTACTCTCTGAAGGCCTCTCAAAGCCTTTTAAACAACTGCATACCCACCTCGAAACTTTTCCTTCACACCACATGCTTTTCCGTTTTATTCTCATTTTCATCTTCACCTTGAGGCTTGAGGTTAAATTAATACTCCTGTCATTTGTCCACACTGGACTGATCCCCCTAGGTCTGACCAAGAGGCCCTGTTTTCTGAGTTCTGGGCCTTGGTCGGAGACAGAAAACACAGCCCACTTTCGCTCACCTGCTCTGTGAAGCCTCTTTCCTTTGAAATTTTTCTCTTTCTGCATTCCCACCACAGCCCCACTACACCAACCCTCTGGTCGCTGTGAAACTTCTCAACATCCCCCGAAACAAGGAGGTCGCCATCGTCTGCAAGATCATCGCAGAGCATGTGACCTTCGACAACCCCCATGATCCATATGAAGGGAAAGTGGAGTTCAAACTGAAGATTCAGAAGTGAGACTGCAGGCCCAGACACCTCCAGCCAGTTCTTGCTGAGTCATCTCGAAGATGTCCTGAATCAAGAAGACTGCTCAGACTGCGACTCCGGGAAGCCCCCGGTGCTGCGAGCTCACCACCAACGCCAGCTCCTCCTCGTCAAACCCTCACTGTGTCAGACAGAATTTGTAGCTATGACAAAATGCTGTGGGGACCCTGAGGCAGGAACTACCCGATTAACAAGACCACAGAACGATTCCTCTTCTCCTACACAGACAGCACTTTCTTACTGCTGTCCACGGCAGTGACAGGCACAGTGCTGACAGTGCACATGATGAATTCTTGCTTCTGAATATGTAGCTCCAAAGTTGTAAAAATAAAACATACTGAAGTTACCCTTATTCTATATAAAATCAGGTCTTTACTGACATGGGAGAAAGATCCAAACCCAAACACTTGCTTCTTTAAAAACCTCCTTTTATAGCTTCAATTGCAAGTCAGGTGAATTGCAGAAACGTCCATCTGAGGACACTTGGTTCCTGGGGAGGGGGAGGGCGGCAGGGAGGATGTCACAGACGCTGATTTTCCTTACACCAAGGACAAATCTCTCCTCCAAATACAGAACGTCAAGTTTGCAACGCTAACCCCTCTCAGAAACACTGAAATGAGAACATTGTCCCACGTGAGCAAACAACCTGCGCTCTGCGATGGTCAGTGGCTTCCCACTGCACCTCATTCAGCATGAGGCCTGAGCCCCCGGCCGCAGGGTCCAAGTCACTGCCAGCCAAGCCCACACAAGTGGCTGGCACAAGGGACTCTGCCAACTCACGACACACAATTCACAATACATTCAACAAAAAACAGTTTCTGAGGAAAGAATAAAAACCTCTGAGTTCCTTGTAAGGTTCACTAAATCAGTTTATTTACTGGGCAGCTGTGACAGGAGACATGGCATCAAAAGGTTCCTGCTGCTTCCTCAGCCTGCATGTCCTTTTGGAGGTTTGATTGTGTCATACAGCTGCCCATGTGCTTTATCAGTAAGTCTTTTTAAAGTGCCTGCACACCAACTTGCACACATCGGAGCTGGAGGCGTCATAAACAAGTCTGTTTAAGGTGCCTACACACCCATATAACATCCTCAAACACACGGCACCTGCAGACGGCAGGGATGAGCACAGAGCAGGTGCTGGTGCTGCTGGAGCCCTGGGGACCATGAAGCGGGTGCGGGCACAGGAGGGGCAACCTCAGAGTGTGCCCAGTGGCTCCTGCACAAGAGGCCAAGTAGCACCTGCCCTGAGATCCAGAGCAGGAGGGGGCTACAGGAAGAGAAGGGAGTTTGATGCTAAGAGCCAAAGACTCTTAAAACTCCATTTTTATTTCACTTTTGAAAAGCCATCAGAGAATTTTCTTTTCAATAAGCCAGGAAAGGGAATGGCAGGGCGGTGTCTGTGCTCAGGGCAGGCTGGTGCAGGAAGCAGGGCAGAGGGAGGGTCCCACTCTAAGAGCAGACTCTAGAGGAAAACAGGGTGCCAGCAATAGAAAAAGAAGAGGGAATGGGAAGGAGGGAGGGCAGGAGGATGTGTATCTCAGCTGAGATGTGCCCTGAGGGGTGCCCTAAGGTCAGAGGTCAGGCTACCCCAGCAGTGACAGCAAATCCATGCAGACAGTGGGAAGTCCCAAGAGGCCTCAAACTCAGCATCCCTACCAAGACCCACACCAGCCGCCCCCCCACTCCCTCTAAAAGCAGAGGGGCAGGTGGCTTGCTGTGGGGGGGTGTCCTGTGGAGCACCACCCATGCTCACCTTCCTCAACCCTCAAGACATTCGAGTAACTCAAGATTGGGGAGAAGGGCTCTTTTCTAAAACTACTGTCTTTCCTTGATGCAATGGCTGATTTATTTAGCCAACTTAAATAAAACACTTAGCTCTCTCTCCCACTATCTCTTTCCCCAGTATTTTTTTATTGTGGTAAAATATACCTAACATAAAATTTACCCTCATAACATTTTAAGTGCACAGTTCAGATGATTTCATGATTAAAAACATGGACGCATTGAGGGAGCCATCAACAGAGGAAAATTCAGACACCACTCACGTCCACTTCCAGCTCACATTCATCTTCCCAAACTGAAACTCTGCCCCCACTAGACACCATGTCCCAAGGCCCTGACAGCCACTCAACTATCTACAACTCTGACTCCACCAGGCACCTCGTATAAGTGGAATCACACAAAGCTTGTCGTCCTGTGCCTGGCTCATTTCCCTGAGTACAAAGTCTTCAAGCTCATCCCTGCAGCCAGCCAATACCAGAGCCTTCTTCCTCTTCCAGGGGCAGTATCCTACCTCAGGTGGACACCACATCTGACCTATCCAGTCATCCCCAGATGGACATCTGGGTTGCTTCCACTTTTGAGCAGCTGTGATCAGTGCTGCTATGAACACAGTGTATGAACATGACTTCAAGAACCAGCTTTGGAGCTTTTGGATATATATGTAGGACTGGACTTGCAGCATCATATAGTAATTCTATCTTTAATTTTTTTTTTGAGACAGAGTCTCACTATGTCGACTTCAGTAGAGGGCCCTGGCATCACAGCAACCTCAAACTCTCGGGCTTAAGTGATTCTCTTGCCTCACTCTCCCATGTAGCTGGGACTACAGATGCCCACCACAATGCCTGGCTAGTTTTGTTGTTGTCATTGTTGTTTAGCAGGCCTGGGCTGGGTTTGAACCTGCCAGCCCCGGTGTATGTGGTCAGCACCCTAACCACTGAGCTATGGGTGCCAAATCTAACTTTTTGAGAAGCAGCCATTTGGTCTTCTGTAGTGGCTGCACTATTTCACATTCCTCCCAACAATGCACTAGTGTCCCAATTTCTCACATCCACCCTCTTGTTTTATTTTCAGTTTTATGGTTCTGATTTATGCTTCCTTAATAATTAGTCATTTGAGCACATTTCCACATTCTTAGCAGCCATTTGTAGATATTTGGGAAAACGTCTATTCAAGTCATTGCCCATTTTGAAATCAGTTGTTGTTGAATTTTAAGAGTTCTCTATATCCTGAATATTAATCCCCTACGAGATCTAGAGGTTATGAATTTTTCTGCCATTCCATGGGCTAAATTTTTGCTTTGTTGATAGTGTCTTTTGATGCACAAACATTTTTAATCATAATGAAATCCACACTACTTTTTCTTTTGCTACCTATACCTTTGGTATCATACCCCCAAAAATCACTATCAAAAACCATGAAGCATTTGCTCTGTTTTTGTGTAAGAGTTTCATTGTTCTAGGTCTTACTTTTGTGACATAGATTTTTAGCTAGTTTTGTAACTGGCATTAGAGAAGAACTTACCTTCATTCTCTCTTGCATGTAGATGTGGAAAAGACAGGTCCCCACTTAACAGTCTGGGCACCTTGCCGAGAGCCACCCAACCACCTGCCAGGGCTCCTCTAGCCTCGCTGCTCAGCTCCATAGCCTGTCCATCTGTCCTCACACTGGCACCACACCGTTCGATCCCTGTGGATGTGAGCCTGCAGCTGTGATCTTCAAGTGCTTTGCCTGCTTGGGGTCATTTGAAATGCCGTATGAATTGGTGATTAGGTTTCCTATTTCTACAAGATGCGTCCTTGGAGTTTTTGAGAAGGGTTGTATCCAATCTATAGACTATTTGAGGCTAGTACTGATGCCATAACAATGCTGCCTTCCCATCTATCACCAGAGTGCTTCCATTTTTATCCCATTTCTTTCAGCAATGTTTCCAGTTCTCATCGTGCTCATCTCTTAGCTGTTTGGCTAATTCCTAAGCATTTTATCCTTTTGACCCTATTTCCAGATTTTCATTTAGTGTGTAGAAATGCAACATAATTCTGTTTGCTTTATGTCCTGAAAACTTTTTTTATTCTAATAGTTTTTTAGTGATTCCTTTAGATTTCCTGTGTAAGATCACGTTGTTTACAAATGGAGATAGTTTTACTTCTTCCTTTCAAATGCGGACGCCTTTTGTTTTTCTTGCCTGATGTCCTCAGCTAGAACTTCCAGTGCTATGTTGAACAGCAGTGGCAAGAGTGGGCGTGTTGCCTTGCTCCTAAAGTAAGAAGCTTCCAGATTTTCACCATTGAACATGATGTTCACTTTTCAGTTTTATATATGCATTTAATTGTTGTAAAAGTTTCCTTCTATTCCCAGTTTGTTGAGTTTTTTCATAAAGGGATATTAAATTTTGTAAAATGTTTTTTTTCTACATCAATTGAGAGGATCATGTGACTTTTTTCCTTCTGTTCATATGGTATATCGATTCCTGTATGTTGAACCATCTCTGCATTCCAGAACTAAATCCCATTTGGTTATAATGTCTAATTCTTTAAACATGATAAATTCCATTTGCTAGTATTTTGTTGAGAATTTTCACCTGTCTGTAAGGCCTATTGGTCTGAGTTTTTTTTTTTTTTTTTTTTTGTGACAGAGCCTCAAGCTGTCCCCCTGGGTAGAGTGCCATGGCATCACAGCTCACAGCAACCTCCAACTCCTGGGCTCAAGTTGAGTCTCCTTTCTCAGCCTCCCAAGTAGCTGGGACCACAGGCGCCTGCCACAAAACCCAGCTATTTTTTTTGGTTGCAGCCATCATTGTTGTTTGGCAGGCCCGGGCTGGATTTGAACCCGCCACCTTAGGTGTATGTGGCTCGCACCTTAGCCACTTGAGCTACAGGCGCCAGCCTGGTCTGAGTTTTTATTTGTATCATCTTTGCCTTTCTCATCAAGGTAACGTAGCTTCACAGAGTGAGTTAGAATGTGTTCTCTCTCCAATCTTTTGGAAGTTTGAGGACTGGCTTTGGTTACTCTTTAAATGTCTGATAGAATTTAAGAGTGAAGCCATTAGATCCAGAGTGGTTTTTTGTTAGGAAACTCTTTAGACTGACTGAATGTCCTTCACTAAGGTTGTTTTTAGGAATTTGTCCATTTCATTTAGGTTTGTAAATTTTTAAATGTATTTTCACATTATCCTCTCATTATCTTTATTT